GCTAAAGTAAGGTAGAAGTATAAGGCACACCGGATTATAAGGCGCATTAGGCAAAACAAATTTCACCTATTGCCGGTTATTTTTAGAACGTAACTCCCGCGATAAACGAGAGACCACAGTACACAAATTTTAAAAAAAATTACATATGATAAAGGATCTAAAGGTAAGGACATTTATTAAGACGAAAACAGAACTGCACTGTGTTTGTGTCTTATTATGGAAGAACTCCACATTCATTTCTTATGTACTTGCTAACATTTGTGGTGGCAGTACTCATAGCTTTCTGGCTTTATATGTTTTCAGACAAGCTAGCTTCTGACATGATTAAAACATAAATTTTAAGATGACCTACCCAACTAAGAACGTTTTACAGACATGGTACACAAAAACACTTGCAACAGAGGCAAAGTTACCCAAGTATACAGAAACTGTATATACAGGAACTGTATACTTGGCTGAGCACATTACTGCCCTGTAAAACAGGAGAAATAGTACAGAGGAAACACGCTGCAGTTGACCTGGTCAGTCTTGCCAGAACTATGTGCACAACTCAGTCCTAAGGTACTCTACTGCCATCTACTGTCCAAAGTGATATGCATGCATTTGCAATACAAAACTTGGAGGACTTCTTGAACCTTATCATACCAGTAAACAAAGTGAAGCATCCATGATTGCCTACATATTTAACAAGACTTGATTCACAATTTTGACCACATATTTGTGTGGGTCACAAAGGCTATAGTAACACAAATAATCAGTGGTTACAGCCAATGTATGCAGAAGAGCATCTCTGAATAGTATGGAGCAGCAGATGACCACACCAGGCTCCAGTCCTATCAGCTAAGAACAGGAAACTGAAGCTAACGTTTGCACAGGCTCACTTAAATTGGACAGCAGGAGATTGGAAAAACATTGCTTGGTCTGATAAGTCTTGATTTCTGGTGGTGATTTGGGGCCAGCATTTGAAATAAGCAACATCAAACCACTGAATGATCATGCCTTGTATCAATGGCTCAGGCTGCTAAGATATTTTCTCAGCTTCTTCCAGCAGGTCGCCACGCCGTGTCACAAAGCTCAAATGATCTCAAACTGGTTTCTTGAACATGACAGTGAATTCACTCTACTCAAATGACCTCCACAGTCACCAGTTCTCAGTCCAATAGAGCACCTTTGTGATGTGGAGAAGCAAAAGCTTCTCATCAGCTGTTGAATTTACGAATTAAGGCAGTTCTGAGGGCAGATGGGCCCAACCCCGTAGCAAGATGTACCTAATAAAATGCTTGGTTGGTGTATTTGGGTTTTGTACAGTTTTGGACAGTTATATTTTCTCAATTTGCTGACTGATTTATTAAATTTATGAAATGATTGATTTACATTTTGCCATTGTTTTCCCTGAGCCCCTGTGAAGAACCTCTGGTTTTACAAAATGCTAAATACGCTGTACTTACCATTTCAATATTCTGTCACTGAATAATTTTTTGTAGGTGTCACAATTCAAGACGCAACTTTCATCAGCCACACTCGTGTGTCTGGATGGTAACATTCCCACCTCAACCATCAACTATGTTTGTTGTTTTGCTGAAAAGCGCAACATAAATGGTAACCAATGGAAAGACATGATTCTAAAAAATCTCAAAAATGTGCTTTTATTGATTGTAACACTAAGATTTCCATGTGTATCGCAGTTTGGTATGAACCGACCGACTCAGAAAAGGCTTGTAAGCCTTTCCTTTCAAATGCCTGGAAGTCTTTGTCCTATTCATCTCCAAACCTGGCAGAGCTGTGCACCATGAATAAAACACTGGGTGTCAAAACACCTGAAGGTAAACTATGTTACTCCTCTTTTATCAGCGAAAGGCATCAAAAAACAAATTCACACCCTCTGCTATTGATGTTAGAGCTCTTGTCAAAAATGCAAATACTCTGACGGAAGCTGAGGATGTGGTTTTGTATTGCGGCAGTGCTGCCGAGCACACTCGACGAGACGCTCAGTGTTGCTGTGGCTCTCTCGCGCCCTCTTCTGGAACATCTTCACTGCCTGGTGGTGACTCTAGGGGCTAATGGCGTGTTGCTGTGTGGAGAGTATGATGAAGGCACAGTGAACTTGCAGCCAAGAAAACAGAAGAGGGTAAGGATGGTCTTCATGCCAGCCTGTAACGATTTGCTCTGACAGTAGTGGTAAAAATGGCTTTTTTCCTGCTTCTGTTTGCAGAAGAGGCAGCTTTGTGGTCTCCACTACCCAGCACTTGCTGTGACCCCAGAGGAGATAATGAATGTGTCGGGAGCTGGAGATAGGTGCTAAAAATTTGCTTGACCTACTTCATCCATCTTGTTCTTATTTGACTATCATTTCCTTTGTTTCTTCTGCTGCAGTTTTATCCACTTTTCAATTTCTATGACCTCTTTCTCTCCCCATCTCACTGGCATTCTTTCACTGAGTCACAAAATGATGGTGAAACACTCAAACAAAAGACTCTCATCTCCCCTTTGTTTCCAGTCTTGCAGGTGCCTTAATGGCAGGGATTGTCCTGGGGAAAGACACAGACAGCTGTGTTCGGATGGGACTCTTGGCTGCAAGGACATCTCTGGCATCCCCGCACCCCATCGCTCCAATGCTCACTTTAGATGCTGTAAACCCCAACAAAGTCCACACTCAGACCTGGCCCAAACCAAGCCTTGTGTGGATTGATTAAAAAATAATAAAAAATTGTGTTAGCTTTGTAATATTCTTATGGAAACTGTGTGTATTGTGACCGAGGAAACTATAAAGAACAAAAGAAAAATTATTGAATTCTAATTTTCCTTGATTATTAATGTTCTGTAATAATTGTATCTTGCAAAATATGTCAAGCAGCTTTGTTAATTTTATACAGCCATATGATAACCAAGTTCAATAAACAGATTATAAAAAATTATGAATTCAAGGGCATTCTGGTGCTTTGATTTCTAAAGAATGAGACAGTCAGTGGCTTGCAGTTGAATAATTACTATGATGATTTTGTGAAAGGCACTAAATACAAAAGAATCTATAAAAACATTACATTAAGGATCAGACGGAAAGCAAGTTATTATGAACCAGTGTTTTTGTATAAATATTTTCTATTTATGTTTTTATTATGCTTACACAATAACATATAAAAACAAGATTCTATAATATTGGATGGGTAAGATATTCCTTTATATTTTTGTGTCACCGCAACTATTTATTGAATAAAATCTGTTAAAAAAAAAAAAGCTTAAATAATCAGAATCAGAATCTTTAATGACATTGTAGGAGTGAAACAAACATTGAACAACGAAATTGAGTTGCAATTATCTCAGTGCAAAAGAAGACACAGATAGATAGATAGATAGATAGATAGATAGATAGACAGACAGACAGACAGACAGATAGCTAGATAGATAGATAGATAGATAGATAGATAGATGAAAAGTACACATAAGGAGCTAAAGATAAAATAGTGTAGAAAATAAAATAATGGCGAAAAATAACACAAAATCTAAGTGTAGTGCAAAGGAATGATATGTAAAAAGTTGAATATAACTAACATAGTAATGAATTTAGAATTTAGAAAATAATGGCGAACAGAATTTCTTCGTAAGTGCGTTGCAGTGGGAACTACATTCCTCTTGAACGTAATGGAACGATGGGAAAATGTAAAAACTACATCTCCCTGAAAGCATCAGCCCATCTGCGCAGACTCAGTGGCACTGAATACTTGCCCCACTCCCTCCTCCCAACTATAATGCTAGCTAAGATGGTGGTTTGAGCGTAAATTGTCTCCACAATACCAAGAAAAGAAAGGGGCAAAACATCTTTATAGCCTTTTAATTACAACAGAACAACACAACTACTGGTATCTTACGTAACCCTCTATAGATATTTTGACATTTCAGATACATTGGCTCGCAGTCCCCGCCCAATTTAGTGTGACTCCCTTGGAGAGGAATCCTAAGCTAAATACGGACAGGGTAAGTAACGCTAACCAAGCTGCTAGCTGAGCTAGCCAGCTTCCATTCTGCCTCAATAAATGAAGGGCAATTATGTCTGTTGCGATTTTACTGACTGACTGTAAAGTTTTCTCACTCTTCATGAATTTCTGCCCAGCTAATCTTAATGTCGTTTGAGCAATGACAGTTGTTTATAGTGCCAACAACTTGTTCCCTGTTCAGTGTTAGCTTATGTAAGGCCTCGTCGTCAGCTCAACTCCAAACCCTCGTACACTCTGATAATGTAGCCTGCTAACTACGGGTTAGCTTAAGCAAGCTGTCACTTTTTATATAGGGGGGCACCATAACGTTATGTCATACGTTTTTTTTAAACTACGAACGTCAATATTGGGGAACGTCTCATGTCCACATGCATTATATTTGTGATTAACATCGCAGTTGTCACGGAATACTTGGTCTCAATCAGACCGGCGTCTTTTGCCAGTTCGCGGCTAATGTTAGCTTAGCCCGTGGTTAGTCAAATAACATCTGTCATAACGTACGATCCAGGAGACTAAGCAGCTAAAGTTACCAGCTTGGCCAACACGATTTGTTCACGACTTTAGTGGGGATGTCTGCGAGTGAAAATGCAAAACGGCGATAGCCGTGTACGTGTAGGGTTATTTGCGAAAATGCTGCCCGGCATTGGATGTCTATAGTCTTTTAGGTTTTTATCGAGCTCTCGATGGGCTCGTCTGCTGGCAGCGGTGTTGTCACGTAGAAAACAGGCTGGTGTTTAAATGCCAACAACAGGCGATTCATTCCTAAATAAACCTATTTTATTGTATTTGTCTTTAACGTCGACCATGACGTGTCAGCCCAAGAAAGATACCACAACATCCGCATTATCACTTTGCGACCATTAGTTCTGTTTTTTTAAGGATTGGGTTGGTACGTACACCCATTTGGCTTATTTTAGACCTAGCTAGAAAAACCAGTGCCGCCCAATGAAAAGACCTCAACAGAATGCAACAAATCTTCCATCTGTGGAGGCCAGAATGACCCGTTATTATTCAAGCCTTTTCGTGGTCATCTGTAGAGGTGTTACCGATGAGTGTTTCTCTTTGCGCGATGTAGCACACTCAGATATATTTAACTGTTATTGAGGACTAACGAAAACGGTCGGATATATTAATTTAGGACCGTTTGAAATAGTATTGAGACACAAATGTGTCAATTGTTGACACCTTTTTCTTAATCTTTGATGTATCACTTAAATATTACAGCTCTGTGTGTAGCACAATGATTTTCAGCTGTATTACTCGGGAAGCACTGAAATCCTGAGCTGATACAATGTTTGAAATAACAGTTTGGCCTATAGCTGATGCCGATAGGGGTGGGTGTGTTGTTGTTTTCATTTATACCTCCCCCCCTTTTTTGTCTTTTTTTCTTTCTTTTTTTTTTACAAAAGAAGCAAAAAATCTTGACCAGATTGTTTTAAAAATCTCCAGGTAATCAACTAGGCTGATACTGATGTTTAGCTATTATAGTGGTGCTTCTCTACTTTGTGCTGTCATTTGATTAAAAAACGTTGTTTTAAAATGCTGGGTGATCTTAAGTAACTGTTTTGGCATTCAAAAAATTGCATTTAAAAATGCAATTAAAAGTATTTTGGCATGTTCACTGATATATTGTCACGTTGGAAGTTCAATTGAAACTGCTATACCTTTCTGCTGTTAAGCATCTGCACTGACAACAAGTTCAGTCATTCTAAATAAATTGTAAATATATTGCTTGCTATATTTAGTCAGTTCTGAGTGGAGCTCTTATACTCTGCATTTATGTTTTGGTAGCCCTGTGCTCTGTGATCCGCTTCAGTACTCAGCCTTGCTGCGCCATAGGATGTCCCACAGCCCTGAAATGAAGGACGACCCCATGGAGTGCCCACTGTGCATGGAGCCGCTGGAGATTGATGACGTCAACTTCTTCCCCTGCACCTGTGGCTACCAGATCTGCCGCTTCTGTTGGCACCGCATCCGTACAGATGAGAACGGCCTCTGCCCCGCATGCAGAAAGGTGAAATGGATGTAGATGCCATTAAGCTCATTAAACAGGAGGATGATTTGTCTGGCTCAGCAGTCTTGTTGGAGGAGACATCATGTAATTAGAATTACACAGGTGTAGCTTGTGTGTAACCATGCCTTAAATTAGTAATTTTTTTTCCTTTGAATGGGAGATATTTCTGTTTGTAACGCAGTTCTTTGTGTTTTTGTGTAGCCTTATCCAGAGGACCCTGCTGTGTACAAGCCTCTGTCACAGGAGGAGATCCAAAGGATAAAGAATGAAAAGAAGCAGAAACAGAATGAGAAGAAGCAAAAGGTGACAGAAAACCGCAAGCATCTGGCCAGTGTCAGAGTGGTCCAGAGAAATCTGGTGTTTGTGGTGGGGCTCTCGCAGCGACTCGCTGACCCAGAGGTGAGTGTAATGCTGACATTACACTTCAGCTACCTGTGACAGGAGCGTTGAAACTTATGGTATTCAGTTTGATGCAGCTAAGGAAGTGGCTGTGTCACTGTAGATTTGGGCTTGACAGATGCAGTGAAGTTTAAATGTACTTTGTTGGAGAATGATCTTTATGTATATTTAAATGTTTTTACCTGCAGCTTCCTCGTGATTCGTGATTCTGTTGAATATTCAGTTTGAAAGAGCTCAGTATCTCCAGCACTTTGTCACAAGTGTTGCTGTGTTTTACCCACAGGTCCTAAAACGGCCGGAGTATTTTGGGAGGTTTGGGAAAATCCATAAAGTGGTCATCAACAATAGCACATCTTACGCAGGTTCACAGGTGAGGAGGGTGGATTAGGTTAAAACGGCAATTTAATAATGAAAATCCTCTTTCATAGCTACAGTGAGCTCATAAAAGTATGCAACCGCATCAATGGCATGTTTATTTACCTGTTTTGTTTTTTAGGGGCCTAGTGCCAGCGCTTATGTTACTTACATCCGCTCTGAAGATGCTCTAAGAGCAATACAGTGTGTGAACAATGTGGTTGTTGATGGCAGAACACTCAAGGTGAGAAGTTGACCCAAAAATCTTTGTTAATTTTTAGTGATTTTAGTAGTCTTTTAAAGTGCACAAAAATTAGTCATTTTATTCTTCATTTTCTTTTCTGCTTCTAGCTATTTAACACAAACGTCATTGTAAACAATGTAGATTACACAGAGAAGATAAAGAATTCTTTGAAAAGAATTAGTATGAATTTCTATGTAAAATTTTCTTCTTCTTCTATTTCTTTCTTTTGCAGGCTTCTTTAGGCACAACAAAATACTGCAGTTACTTCCTCAAAAGTATGCAGTGTCCCAAACCTGATTGTATGTACCTACATGAGTTGGGGGATGAAGCAGCTAGCTTTACTAAAGAGGAGATGCAGGTACACTTTTTTTTTTCCTCTTCCCACAATGAGAGTCAGTTGTGGTTTAAAGCACCTTTTTGACCCATGTTATGTTGTTTCTTCAGGCAGGAAAACATCAAGAGTATGAGCAAAAACTCCTCCAAGACCTCTATAAAATTAACCCTAGCTTTCTACAACCTCCAGCTTGTGGAACAGAAAAGTCAAAGAGTAAATCCAACTCCACACAGAGGTTGGTTTTTATTAATATTTAGATTTGTTGTATTTTTATTATTTACTCACAGTGCAGCGGAGGCTAATTTCTGTCCTGCTTTGTAACAGAACCAACAGTAGCAATGGTAAAGATGGGTGGCCGACGCTGTCAGGGCATAACAAACTGTCCAACGGGCTTTCAGAAGACCGCAAGTCCCCTCCACTGCTAGACTATCTAGACCAAGAAGCTATTACTTCAGATGGGCTAGAAACAGAGCTAGGTCCAGGCCAGCGTACTGCCTTGTCCCCCTTTTCCTCTAACTGTGACAGTAACAGGTACATGGGTTTTTCCTCCGGAAAAGGA